AGACCCAAACTGACAGTGATAATTGCAAAGCTTTAATGGTCATTGTGTCGACCATATATCCTCAGGAAACCCGAGGAACAGTTCCCCTAGCATTAAACAATATGGAGTAGGTGTCAAGCACCGATCAGATGGATTTAAATGATCGGGGATAGGGTCATAAGTGTTTGACATACCCCGAGCAGTCATCCTATCGCCTGAGTGAACCAGTCATGAGAATCTGAATGAAAAACACTCATTATGCATGGATAAGAGTGCAAATCATTAAATATTGAGATGAGACTCCAAACACTTCACTCATTGCTAGTCCAAGTATAAATACTCATCAGAAAGATGAACAAAGATACGCAAACTAAACTAAGAACAACATTGTGCTAAAGTCTAACGTCTACTGATTTAAGCTTCGGAGGGGATAAGCTGGATGCTCACCTGACTCTTTTCCTAACCTCTTGGTTGTTTCAGGTTCCCCATTTAGAGGATCGCTATCCGTATTCATTGCAGGAAATCTCTCATGCACTTTTAATGTCCAAATATCAGATCAATTGGAATCAGGGCAAAACGTTATGATCAAAATACTAAGATATTGTCAAATTCCTTCATACCCAAATTCTCTCCAAAATGCACTTTGACTAAAAAATACTTTTAAACTTCTAATACAACCCATATTAACTATCCCAAGGTTTCTCAATCTTTCGAATTCAATGGTAATATTATTTTGACCTAAAAACCCTTAGCAATGTACCTATTTACCCTTCTTAAACTTAGATGTCTTTGAGATTAAATTTGATTCAAAAGTCAATACCCGAAAAACTCAAACTTCATGATCATTCCTTCAAATGTTACACCAAACTTTTTATCATCATTTGAAAGTACTCTTAAAATCATAGTCCATCTTTAAATTTTTTATGGGGTCTTACAACTACCATGTCAATTGATGACTCTGGCCACTTGTGTTTCCATGGTGTGGATATGTGTCATGAATTCATCAGGTACTACAAACTTTTTTTTGGTTGACACACAAGACAATTGTCACAATGTTCCCATACAACACACATACACAAACCACTAAAGAGGTATGAGACAAGATAATGACCACTAACATGTAGACCTGTCAATGGATCGAGTATGGACTGGATTGTCATTTATTCAAATCTGAATCTGATTTAGTTTTTGTCGATCCAATTATTCGATGGATTTAAAAATTTTAATCCATGTCCGAATCCATTAATTTTCGAATATCTAATCCAAAAATCTGATTTGATTCATTTGTCACACAAAGCACATGTACACCAAAAAATTAACAATGAGAATTTAGATAATGAGCTAAAAAAGGGAGGAAAAACAAAAAATTAAAGTGAAAGCAAGAGGAAAACCCAGACAATAGAGGGAAATAAAATGAAAATGAAAAAAGTGGGTCTTACATTGTGATATTCACTCCATTTTTACTTGTTTTCCAATATAAATATAATATATGCATGATATTTATTTACATAATATATCTTTTTATTCGAATCGGATTAATAGATTGAAAATCTGATCCATATCTGTTTAAACGAATTCAGATTCGGGTTGAAATTCGGCCCTTTGACAGGCCTACCAATATGTAATCACATAATACCAACATTAAAAATATTTGTTTTTCTTAAGAAAAAGGGATTCAACCCCATTACATTCAAAGAGAATAGGACTGTCAATAGGTTGTGTTGTATCTAAGTTGTATTGTGTCAAAATTTACTCAATTCATACCAGACCCATTTCTAATAACGTATAATTAAATTCAGTTTGTATTGAGTTCGTTTCAATTATAAACAATGTTTAATTGGGTTTAACCGGATACATATTTTGATTAATTGATTTCATGTGATTCATTTGATTGGCGAGTTTGATAAATTCACCCATTTTTCATTCAAACTCTTCAAAGATAAATCAAACTTATTAATTTTATGTCGGGCTTATGAATTATATAAACAATTGTTGGGCCTATAAAGCCAAGACTTGACACGAAGCAAAAAAAATTAATGGTAACAAACCAATAGACTTGTACATATATTTTTTTTTCTTCTCATTGTTATAACTGCAAGGTATCACTATTACAATGAAGCCTAACCTCCGAAATGAGATTCAACGAGCCTACTCCTAATCGGCCATGTTTAAGTAATTCTTTTGTGACAATATTAATTGTAGGGAACTTGCAGGGGCCACTTATTGGTATAAGGTCAATTCAAAGTAATTTGGATGTTCTAAGTTATATTTTAATTTGTATTTTTTGAATTTTGTTAATACTTCTATTTAAAGAGTAGTCGATAACAAGTATTTCAGATTTATTCTTTAAGAATAAGTCTAGTATTGCCTTGCTTTTGACTGTTTCCTGAATGGAAAAGCAGCCATTGGAGTAATTTTGAGGGACGTAATTGGGATTGAGTTTGATGGAGCAGCAAAAATAATCCCAGCAGTATCCAGCTTATGCTCTGAAGCAGAGGCTGTTAGGCACGCCTGCCTTATGGCATTTTCCTCTGGCTTACAACAGGCATGCGTTGAAAGTGATCATCAAGTTAAGGTCGACTGAATGTGACCCACCATGGAAAATCAGCAGTATCATTGAAGATATTAGGCATCTGCCCAAAGCCCTTAATTTAAGGTTTTGTTATGAGTCAAGAGTTCTTACTAGAGCAGCTAATTTTTTTTTTTTTTTTGTAATGGGGATATCCTATAACCTGTCCTCAACGAGTAGAGACGCACTTATGTCGCTCATGCTCGTAATTCTGAGTAGAACAAAGGACAAATCCGAGTATATGAACCGGTCGCTCAACTCATAGACCAGTTAAATTAGGACTTGCGTTTTGTCGGTGACTCAAAACTCACATTAGAGAGTTGGATACAATTCGTCTAAGTAACTGAAGTTTTATCCTACTAAGCAGTCACGCTATTGCGTCTAGGGGACTTCAAACCCCTAACCTCCCATTGGAAGTCAGAGGTTCTGATACCCCAATTCTTTTGAGTTAAGTCAATTGACCCCTCCTGAGTTTAAGACTTTACTATCACCTGATTGTATGTGTATTTAGTATTTTCCTACTTGAACGAAGATATGAATATATTAGTTTAAAAAAAAAAAAGTTTCCCGCATGGGCGGAATCAAGAAATGACTTATGGTGGGGCACATTTATATACATCATATTTTGACAATCAAAAACTTATAAAAGACAAAAAGATCAAAAATTGATTCATATAGTATATTTATGCTAAAAAAAGCACTAATTATAAAACTTCACAAAAAAAATTGAATTGATTATATTCATCTACAATTAACCCCAAGCTTTCATACTTTCAACCTCTGTTAGGTTTGAAAATCAAGTTTAAAAATGTCAATTGCAATTACGCACTTCCATAGTGTTGTGATTGACTGCATGACTTCTAATAAAAGTAACATAAAACTCAACGAAGGATAACACGGTTATCGAAAGATATTACAATTGTCAAACGTCGCATAACACTAATATTGCTACAATGAAAAATAATTTTTATAATTTTTTAAAAAGTGATAAAATGATCCCAATATGTCAAAAGTTTTATTTAGGTAAATTTGAAACGTGTACAAAAATTAATAGTTATTTTATGTATGAACTAGTTATAATTCGTGTCTAAAAACACGATAAAACATAAATTTTGATCGTTTAAAAAATTAATCTCACTATACTAAGTAACAATTTTTTATTTCTTGGTTTATTTGATTACATCATTTAAAATTAATTTTTATCTATTAGTTTTTCAAAAATAACATCAAAATTTTCTCAAAATGTATAACCTGATAATCTTTTTTCAACACGTGTATACTATCATGTATGAAACAATAATTGTATTAAGTTATAAATTAATCAAATATTAAATTATTAAACATGTGATAGAATTGAGTGATGAGATGATTTTGAGAGGAAAAATATGGGTGAGATAAAGATTCAAACTTCTAGATGTTTTATTATATAGACTTATAATAATCAATATGAAAAAAATAGGGTAAATATAATTTAAATTATTAAACAAATAGAGCACATATGTCATTGATAATAAGGAAAAATATTTTAGGGTAGAAACTCCTTCCTAGCTCCGCCATTGGTTTCCGCTCATAAAAAAAAATTAAGTAAATATAATAATTAATTCTTGAACTTTACCTCTTGTGTTAAATGTCTTTAACTTTTAATTTTGTCAATTTAATCCATGAACTATCAATTTTGTCCCAATTAAATTCTTCCGTCAATTTTGATTATTAAAACAGACGACGACACATGTTGTGAATGACCATAGAACAAATATATGACTTGTAACTGTTTGTTCTAATGGCTAAAATTGATGAAAGAACATAATTGAAATAAAATTAATAATTAAAAGACTAAATTAAAATAATTAAAATTTTAGGGATTATTTTAACATAAAAAATATTAAGACTTGACTACAGTATTGAAAAAAAAAATCAAATACCGTACTTCTAAAATTTACTACTTTAAAGGGTCATTTTACGATCAAAAAAATTATCATTTTTTTGTTGATTTATTACTATTATGAGTATTTTTATTATTATTATGGATGTTTTTACCATTGTTGTAATAGCTACTTTTACTATTTTTTTTAGTATAAAAAAAATTAAAATTTTTCCGAGTGATTTATCAATTTTGTTAGTATTTTTTACCAGCATTATGAGTATTTTATTACTGATATAATAATTATTTCTATCACATTTTTTGCTATGATAATAAATATAACAAATATCGATATAACACCAAAATTTTGTTTTTAGTTACAGTAGACAACTCCAAAATAATACTCCTCTGGTTATAAAATAAACATCACTGTCACTTAAGGCATAAACAAAAACACGTGTCCCCCCCGATGCTTCCAATTGTGTAACGTGTCCCTCCCGGTCTTTCCAATTGTGCCATGCATCATGCATGTTCTCAATAATTTTTTTTGATTTATAGAATCACTCTGCGACAGATGGCCTTATTCTCGATAATTATCAATTCAGAATAACAGCTGGGAAAGAAAAGTAAATACACAACAAACCCCCAGTCTCCCTCCATCATATTCAGGAGAGAGAGAGAGTGAAGAAAAGACCCGGACACACCACCACCACCGTCATCATCATGTGCTGTGGCGACGGAGATTGCCGACCTTTGGGCTTCCTATTGGGTCTTCCCTTCGCCTTCCTCTCCCTCCTCATCTCCATCGTCGGCATCGTCGTCTGGATCGTCGGGTTCTCTCTCTCTCTCTCTCTCTCTCTCTCAATTGTGGCCGATTGGATCTGGATTCGATTTGATTGTAATTATGTGAATTCGCAGATTGACTTTGACTTGTATATGTCCGTGTTGCTTATGCGTGACGGTGCTGGTGGAGCTGGCACTGGAGCTAATCAAGGCACCTATTCACGTCATGGAGTGGTTCACTTCGCAGATCCCCTGTTAGATACTCTCTCACCTTTTCGTTTTGTTTCACAGAAAAGCTTTCTTTCATGTAATTAAGTAAGGCATTGGCGTATGTTTTTCTCCCTCTCCCTCTCCCTCTCCCTAGTGCTAAGGGTGTGATTTAATATGACTTAGATATAATTTCACAATTGATCTTTGTTGTCTACTTTCGTTCTCGAACACATGTTAATTTGCTTCACTTGTCATGGTTATTTGATATCTACAAGAAAACAAAAGCTCCGATTGTCGCCGAGCCCGACCTTCGTTCAGGACGGGTGACAACTGAAAATCTTTGTTTTGCGAGTTTAGGAGGATAGTATTGAATCAATCAAGCCAACATGGGCGAGTGGAGTATTCGGATTTCCTCCTCATTCACTTCACTCTTGTGCACATTATTCCGCTTGACTTCAGAAATAACTAGATAATCCTTGAAAAATAACTATATAATCCTCTTGTGGTTTGTGAAGGTGTAGTAAATTTGTTAACATCCGCTGCAGAAACAGTGTACTCGCTCATGAGAATTGATCAATTGACTTGCCGGAGCTCCCTTACCAAAACGTTTTTGATTGATTCGCACAAACCCGAAACATAATCACACAAACGGTTGTCAGAATCTGGGTTTTGATTGCGTGATACTGAACAAAGTTATAATAGAAAAGGGATTAGAGAAAAGGAAAAGAAGAGAGAAACAAGACGCAAAGATATAAATGGTTTGGCAAATTGGGTACATTAATATCAATGTATTATTAAACGTACTTGATTATATGAGATTCAATTATGTTTAAAGGGTGTGAATTAGGGGTGTCAAACATGATGGATTTGGTCAAGGGTTTAATCCACGTTGTGAGCCCACTTTAAATTAAGAGCTCAACTAAAAGAGATCCACTAAGTCTAGCCTAAAGGGATGTATGCCTGGTCAAATTTGTCAGGGTTCGATGAGTTATATCACCAGGGGAGTAAGCAGAGGCATTCAAGAGCCTCATTCGCATCGCCTTAAAAAAAGTTAACCACCACGTCATTTTTTGACCGTATCTTATGGAGAGCACCCAAACTGTCTCATCCGTTGAGAATATAGCGCCAACTCCACCAGATTAGCTAACTGGTTACTGATAAGTTGTCTCAATCTGTTAGGAGATGACTATAAATTGTAAGTCCCGCCAATATTTGGGAGTATCACACTCAATTGCACACATTGTTATCACTCTCCTCTCTATCTCAAAGCTTGTATCTCCCTATTCTCTCTGCACTCCTCGAAGTAATAAAACACCTGGTCATCCAAGCCTTTCAAAGTGAAAGTAGGTCGTGTTGACTGAACTACTATAAATCTTTGTTTCATTTAGCTTATTATTTCTCTCCATTTTATTACTGCATTTATTACTGATTACTTGACAGGTGGTGTGCAAAATCAATTTGTGTATTATCAGTTTGACATCGTCTGTGGGAACGACAAAATTCTCACTTAAGTACTTCTCTTGCTGTACTTATAGCGATCACCACCAGATCCATAAATCAGCTTGAAGATAATTCAGCACAAGAGGAGAAGGTTGCTCCTCCACTAACCAATCATGTTCCAAGTGCATAGTAGATATTGGAGACAATGCAACAGCTCGTAGCTCAGAATTAGCAGATCCTACAACTAATGCTCACTGGACAATAAGGAGGAGCACAGCCTAGAGGGCCTCAAGTTAGAGGCGCTCTGTGCCCTGGGCGTCATGGACCTCCCCACTTGGGCTCCTCCTCGAGAGCCCCATTAGGTGCCCTACACAGGGAAAGCCCACCATGAGGGACCTCCACCTTCTCCTCCAGCTTCCTTTCTCATGGTGGAGACCCACATTTTTAAGATGAGTAGGGAGAAAACCAAAGCGTGGAGCATTAGAGCCATTTCCACGACAATTCCAAAAGAGCTCCCGACCATTGGGACGAAAAAATCAAAGAAGTGCAGAATTAGCTAGGCGACGTCTTCTACGTCATGAAGGCATAAGGACTTGAAACCGTGACGAGAGCCTGAGGAGTTATCTCGCTCATTTTAACAAGAAAGTTCTCTAGATTGAAGAGCCTGACGATAAGGTTACCATGACTGCCTTCTTAGAAGGTCTTCGTTCATCAAGCTTCCTCCTTTCAGTGATGAAACACCTACTAAAGAGTATGCCAAAACTGTTAGCGAAAGCCTAAAAATACATGAATGCTGAGGACATCACTAGGGCCAGACGAGGTGAGTCCTCCGACACAGGGGAGAAGAGAAAGGAGAGAGACAAAGACAATAAGAAGGAGAGTGGAAACAAGTGAAGCAGGAAATAGAGGGTACCTGCCAAAGATCGACTTGGTCCTGCCCAAGGCACCTAAGCATAGAAAAAATGAGGTCATATTCTTCTTAGAAAAGGACCTAAAAGGAATCCAGTACCGCCATGATGACCCTCTAGTGCTTACTATAACCATCACCAACTTTCAGGTACGATGAATTCTTGTGGACAACGATAGCTCTGCGAACATCTTGTTTTGCAGAAGCCTATGACAAACTCAACTTGGGGAGAGAAAGGCTGCAGCCCATCAGGTCGCCTCTTATCGGATTCTCAGGGAAGAAGGTGTATCCCCTAGGGTCCATCACATTACTAGTCACCGTCGATGCAGTGCCCCGGAGCTCCACAGTCATGGTTAACTTCCTGGTGATAGACTGCTCGTCTGCTTACAACATCATTCTAGGGCGACTCGATCTCAACACCCTAAGAGCTGTGCCCTCCACCTATCATTTTATCCTCCGTTTTCTAACCCCGAATAGATCAAAGAGGTCCGAGGAGATCAGGTTGCTGCAAGAGAATGCTACATCTCCTCCATGAAGACTAGGAAACCACAAGAAGCACTACAAGTGGAGGTCCTCAACCCAAGAGATGATGCCACGTTGGAAAGAGGAGAACCAGTAGAGGAGCTCAAATAAGTGGTCCTAAATGAGGAGTATCCAGACATAAGAGTATATATTGGCTTTTCCCTTTTTGAAGATTTATCTCACCAACTTACATATTTTTTTAGGCTCAAAATGAATGTTTTTGTATGGTCACATGAAGACCTTGAGGGCATCGACCCTAAAGTCGCCACCTATCATCTCAATGTCAACCTTCATTACAAACTTGTTCGCCAAAAGCTAAGGAGCTCCTCCACTGAGAGGGCGCAAGCAATGGACAAAGAGGTGGAAAAGTTGATAGAAAATGGGGCAATCAGAGAAGTGCCCTATCCAGTATGACTCTCAAATGTGGTGATGGTGACTAAAGTCAACGAAAAATGATGCCTATGTGTTGACTTCACTGAACTCAACAAGGCGTGTCTTAAAGACAGTTACTTGTTGTCACGAATTGACCTCCTCGTCGATGCCACTGCAGGACATGAATTGCTCACCTTCATGTATGCATATTATGAATATAACCAGATCAACATGCATCCCCCAGACCATGAGAAAACGTTATTCATCACTCCGAAGGGGACCTACTGCTACAGGGCCATGCCCTTCGGACTAAAAAATACAGAAGCAACCTACCAACAGTTGGTAAACAAGATGTTCCAGTCTCAAATTGGGAGAACAATGGAAGTGTGGACAATATGCTGGTAAAAAGCCTTGCCGCAGCAGACCACATAGACCACCTCCAAGAAACCTTCGATGTTCTTAGGTCGTACCGTATGAAGCTAAACCTTAAGAAGTGCGCATTTGGCGATGAATCAAGAAAGTTCTTGGGCTTCATGGTCAACTAGAGGGGAATCGAGGCGAATTCTGACAAGATCAAAACTATCCTGGATATGAAGTCACCCACCACGACCAAGGAGCTCCAGCGCCTCAATGGAAGAATTGCAGCACTCTACAGATTTGTTTCCAAGTCTGCAGATAAGTATTTACCCTTCTTCAATATTCTCCAAAAAGATTTTGAGTGGGGACCTGAGGCAGAAGAAGCTTTTCAAAAGCTCAAAGATTACTTGGCTACGCCTCCTATCCTTTCATATGCTATACCAGGTGAAACTTTATATTTGTACATTTCTGCTTCCCTATCGACAGTAAGCTCCGTTTTCATCAGAAATAACGAAGGAGTGAAAAAGCCTATCTATTACATGAGCAGGGCATACCGAGGAGCATAAATAAGATATTTAGGGCTAGAAAAACTGGCGCTCGAAGCCAGATGTCTCTAGAAGACTCCTTAAGTGGGCAATAGAGTTGGGTGAGTTTGATGTCCAGTACCAACCAATGGCAACCATAAAAGCACAAGTATTGGTTGATTTTATTACAGAGCTCACACTAGTAGAGGAAGACGGTAGTGGACCCTCGACACCTCAGGAAGCCTCCTCAGAAACTTACCTAGACATCCAGGCGTCAAGGCCTAACGACCAAGACAACCTGGCGCTCTATAAGGGCGCCCAGGGCATCCAGGCGCCTAAGCCAGTGCCTAGCCGCCCACCATAACCTCCAACGCTCCTTTTCAACTACCTCTCTAGAAGCTCTACGACGATGGCTCCTTGACCAGCGAAGGAGGGAAAACTAGCCTAATTTTGATTAGCCCGACATCACTTCCATCAAATACGTCGTGAAGCTCCACTTTACCGTCTCCAACAATGAGGCAGAATATGAAACCCTCCTCTCTAGCTTAAGATTGACAACTGAAATGGAAGCTCAACACCTCATCGCTTATAGTGACTCTCAGTTGATAGTCAATCAAGTGATGGGTGAGTTCGAAGCAAAATGAACCAGAATGCATGAGTATCTTGCCATGGTGCAAGCCTTGCTTACGAAGTTCCATCACTTCTAGATCTATCACATCCTGAGGGATATGGCTGTAGATGCACTTGCTAGGCTCGCCTTGTCCTCGGAAGCCTCACCAGAACCAACATTCGTCGGTCACTAGTTCGAGCCAAGCAGGCTAGACATGCAAGCCATTAGCGTTAAATATGCATTTGCCGAATCAAATTGGATGACCCGATAAGGGCATACCTCTAGGAGGACACTTTGTCAGACGACCCATTGGAAGCCAAGAAGCTTAGGATGAGAGCCTCCAAGTTCACTGTCCTACAGGGTGTCTTGTACAAGAAAGGCTATACCTTGCCATTGCTACGATGCCTCTCCCCAGATGAAGCTGACTACACCCTACGAGAAATCTATGAAGGAGTTTACGAAAACCACTTTGGAGGTTGTTTCCTAGCCCACAAGGCCCTCAGGCAGGGCTACTTTTAGCCAAGCATGGTCAGAGACGCCCAAGAGTACACCAAAAAATATGACAAGTGCCAATGCTTCGCCACGGTGTCCAGATAGCCACTAGAATAACTGACATCCATCACAAGTCCATAGCATTTTTCCAAATGGCATATTGACATCTTGGTCCCTCTACCTTTGAGCAAGGGGCAATGCAAGTTCATAGTGGTAGCCATCGACTACTTCACTAAGTGGGCGGTAGTCGAGCCCTTAGCGAAGATAACAGACACAAAAGTTAATGACTTTATTTGGAAGAACCTGGTCTGCCGTTTCGAAGTACCCCATGCCATAGTTACCAACACCGCCAAGCAATTCAACAACAAGCTCCTGAACTCGTTCTGCGCCGACATCTAGATAAAGTAGCCTCATTCCAATCCAGTGCACCCGCAAGCAAATGGACAGGCCGAGGTCACAGTCAAAATAGTACTACGTAGCCTAAAGACAAGGCTTGAAAGAGCGAAGGTTCTCTGGATTGACAAACTCCCAGGTGTATTATAGGTCTACCGAATGACACCAAGAGCCCCAATTGGAGAAACCCTCTTTTTCATCGCCTTTGGAACTGAAGCAATCATACTTGTCAAGATCGGGATACATACTCTAAGGTACAACACCATGACCCCATCACCAACAAGGAAAGACTCCGCATCAACCTCGACTTGGTAGAGGAGGCAAGAGAAATGACTATGGTCCGCAATTTGGAGTACAAACGATGCATGACAAGGTATTACAATTTGAGGGTGAAGATTCATTCCTTCCAACTAGAAGATTTAGTCTTCAAGAAAGTGATTCTCGCCAAGAAGGATTCGCGAGAAGGAAAGCTTGGACCGAGCTGGGAAGGACCCTACCTCATTACAGAAGTAGTGAGGCTAGGTACCTACAAGATCCAGAGTTTCGAAGGAAAGGTCTTACCCCATCCTGGAATGCTGACCATCTAAAGAGGTACTACCAATGACACCTTAGGAGAGTAGAAGTAGTAAAGTTGAGGAACTTGATTGTATTGTAACTTTTTTGGGTTATTACTTACCTTTACTTAGCATGAGCAGTCATCAATAAAACTTTCTAAATTTACTTCAGCGGTTCTTTGCATTTTGGCATTCAATTTCAAATGAGCATCAGTGGCAAAAAATCACTTTTACAAAAATGAGGCTATATTGCATTTCTAAAAAAAAAAAAATCAAAAGTTCCCAATACTCTAGCTGCCCTCATGGTCGTCCTCCTCCTCCCCACTTTCTGCATCGTCAGAGCCACCATCACCATCACCATCACCATCATTAGGCGCCTCATATAACATGAAGTCTGAAAGATCAATATCAGGGAAAGTAATAGAAATTTTTTCCCAAAATTTCTCGTAATCATCAAGTAAGGCATTTGCAAGGCCACTTTCCAAATCATCCTTAGCCTTGACAACTCTTTCACGAGCCAGCAGTAGATCCACCTTAGCTTAAGAAGCCCTCTCGTGAGCTACCTTCACCTATGCGTCCGCTTTCAAGCAGGTAACCTCTCTAAGTGCAGCCTTCTCGCGGGTCTCCACAAGCTCAGCTTCTCTGAGCACATCCTTCTCATGGGTCGTCAAAAGTTCAGCCCCAAGCTTAGTCGCCCTCTCGCTGGTCGCCAAAAGCTTTGCTTCAGCCCTCGTACAAGCAGTCTCTCTAAGCGTGGCCCGCTTATGGGTCGCCACAAGCTCAGCCTGGGAAGCCCTATCAGCAGCTTAAAGCTCAACAATCCTCCCCTAAGCAGTAAGAAACTCCTTTTGTATAGCCTCATGACTTTTGCTTCAATTGGCCATAATAAACAACTCTTGAGAAAAGACACACAAAGGCAGTTGAAACCTGAAAAAGGCAAAAGAATATTAGTGCCTAAGGAGGGACTGGAGAAAGGGAGAAAGCAGACCCTTACCTGAGCCAGACTTTCCAGAAAAGTATCGATGGTACCTTTGGTGTCCCTGGCACTAATCTCATTAACGTTCATCGGGAGCACAAACCTCCAAATTCATTCCTTGACGACTTGCACATCACCTAACATGGAGCCAATTTGGGCAAGTTCTCCTGTAGAGGTTCCCATAGGAGGAGTTGATGAACGGGGGGCAAGAGGTGTAGTTGATAAGGGAGTCTCTAGAGTGACGGTCACACCTGAAGGAGTCGCTGACCGAGGAGGCACAACTGGAGGGGTCATCACAATGGAGCCTACCAAAGCATTACTCACCTTTGCCACCTTAGAAGGATGAGTGCTCCTAGTGGAATAATGGGACTCTATCACTGTCATGTCCACTACAGAAGGAGAAAAGTGTTACTGTAGTAAAAACCAAGTAAAGAAGGGGAAGATAAAGGAATCAATGTACCCTTTCTCTTCCAAGACGAACGCTAGGTCTCGGGGAGGGCACACCACCCCAACACCAATGGTAGGAGAGCCTCTAGCTCCACCCTCTTTGAGCATGAGAGCTCCAAAGTCATTTACTGGGTGAACCTTCACTGCTTGCGTCTTCCATTCTTGATCCTTTGTGAGCTTTGGAGAACCTGTAAGTGATGTAATAAGTACACATTTTCAAAGAAGGCAAAAGGAAAAGAATAAGTGTGGGCATACCAAGTCTCTTTGGGATGTCCTATTTTTTTGGTACCAAAGCTTTGTCAGCCTCTGAAGCCCACTCTCCACCAAAAAATATAAAACAAGTCTTCTAATTATTGTAGTTAGAGCGCAATCTCGTAATCAATTTACCTCCCCTCATAGTACAGTAGTACTAGCCTCGATTGGGAGTAGGAGCCTCACTCAAAGTATAGGCTGCACAAAACTCTTCAGGAGAGGCATCTTCATGATACACCTTTCTCCACAGTGCTAGAAACCCCAACAAAACTCTCTAACTATTGGGCGACAATCACTCTGGTGCCAGTGAAAAATAATGCAGAATACGACAAATAGAAGAAGACATTGAGAACCTGAACCCAACCTTAAGCACCTTCTCATAGATAGCAATGTCTCCGGAGGAGTCATCCCAAGCAGGCTCACCCAACTCGGCTCGACGGCACAGTACTGTTAGAGGAATGTGCTAAGTGGGGACAATCCGCCAAATATCAGCGTTCGTATTGAAAATGCTAAAAATGGTACTTACTTTCGAGCTGTCGTCATCGAGAGCTGCCTTCCCTAAACGTTTGTTGCTGCAAGAGCGAGAAGCATTGTCCGGGCTACTACTAGGAGGTTCATGTCTGGTGTCTACCTCCACGTCGCTTGGCTCGCCCAAAGACAAAGACCCAGCTATATGCGACGCTGCCTGACTGTGCCTAGTACCCATCAGCACTACCTATGTGCTTGTCTAATCATGCCCAACATCCGTCAAAGCCACCTGAGGGCTCCCCTGCCTGCACTCATCACCGAACAACGCTTCTCCGTCAATGCCTGACGCCGTCTACACCTCACCCATCGCCTGGGCCGTCTCAATCTTGCCGGTGCCCGTTGCTTGCACACTAGTCTCGTCGGTGCCTATCAGCTTCTCCATCGAGGAGGTCTTCTCTGCGTGAACAACGCCTGTCAATGGCGCTTAAGGTGCCTCCACACCGGCGCCCCTCCTTTGCTCCTAGTAGCCTGGTTCGCCTAGGCCATCTTAATCTCGGCGCCCAACACCTCCCTCTCCTCTCTTGTGCACTGTTCCCTTGCACGAATAGTGGATTCGCCCGCCTGCGCCTCTCTCAAGCCACCTGGGCAAGCAACGAATGGCGCCCAAGGTGCCTCTATGTTAGCGCCCCCTAGATTTGGCACTTCCCCAATAGTCCCAGCGGCTTGGGTCGCTTGAGCCGTCACGGTCTCGGCGCCCCTTTTATCCTACTTGCATGAGCAGTAAATGGAGCCCAAGGCGCCTCCCCCAAACTTTGGTGTCTCTCCATCAGTCCTAGCGGCCTGGGTCGCAAAATTGGGCAGCGCCCAAGGTGCCTCGACCTCAGCAACTTAGGTCGCCATACCCAGTGACGCCCATGGTGTCTTAGTTTCTTCTCCACACCTCCATCGTTCCTCTCGTTCGCTTGAGGCTCTAGGACTACGCTGATCTCTTCGGGCTCTCCACCAAGATTCACAAACTTCTTAACATCTTCTCCTTCAATCGACATCACTCGGAATGTTCGATTCAAGAATCTCACCTCTTTGTTCTTGAAGAATTTCAGGAGGAGTTCTCTCTCTCAAATTCGTATGGAATAGAAAGGAAGGGAGAAAAGTGTTCTTGTTTATAAAAGGTTCTTCTAGAATAAGAAATGGGGAAACCTGGAGAAGTCCTACAAGGAAAAAGAATTTATATCAAGAAGAAGAAGAGTCATCAGTTAAAGGGGGTTTCCATCAGTCGGAATTCAGGTTCAACATTGGACACAGGGCATTGGGGGGCAAATAATGGGCCTAGCCCAAGGGCCCAACCCACGTTGTGAACCCAGTTTAAATTATGAACCCAACTAAAAGAGATCCAGAGGTCCAGTCCAAAGGGGTCCACGCCCGGTCATGCTCGTCCGGGTTCGAGGAGCTACATCACCAAGGGAGTAATAATGGTCATTTAAAAACCTCATCTACACCGCCTTGAAAAAAGTCAAACTCCTTGTCGTCCTTTGACCGGATCTTATGGAGAGCACCGTAATTGCCCCATCCGTTGAGAAGATGGTGCCAGCTCTATCAGATTAGTCACTTAATTATTGATAAGTCGCCTCAATCTGTTACGAGACGACTATAAATTGTAAGTCCTGCCAACACTTAGGGGGCATCACACTTAGTTGCACCCATTGCTATCACTCTCCTCTCTATCTCATAACTTGTATCTCCATGCTTTCCTCGAAGTAATAATACACCAGGTCATCCAAGCCCTTCAAAGTGGATGTAGGTCACGTTGACCGAACCACTATAAATCCTTGTCTTATTTAGCTTATTATCTCTCTCCACTTTATTACTGCATTTATTATTGTTCACTTGACAGGTGGTGTGCAAAATCAATTTGTGTATTATCAAAATATGTTGGATTAAACGGTTACGTGTCGGGTTAAACGGGTGACGGGTGAAAAACATGTAAACTCATACACGACTGTAGTCGTGAGGTGCAAAACCTCAACACGAACACGAATCGTTTAATAAACGGGTAACACAATACGACTCTTTTAACCCGCTTATTTTTAATTTTTTATTATATTTTTGTGGTTGTCACTAAATTAAAAAAAAATTTACGTGGCTATCACTAAATAATATATATATATATATATATATTGTGTCTGTTACTAAATTTTTTTTTTTCTAATTTTTTAAAATAATTATTAATTTATTATTATATTAATTTTTTTAAACGAATAAACGGGTGATAAATGGGTTGACATGACTCACCCGAACAAGACCTCGTTTATTAAATGTGTTTAACTGGTCATCCCGTTTACCACCCAAATCCGTTAAAGTTTCACCCAAACTCGCTTAATTCGTGTCGGTTAATCGTGTCGTGTAGTACCTTGATAGTCCTAGTAAGAATTACACAAGATAAAAGTAAAACATTGCAAGCTTATCATCATTTACACTTATTCTATAAATAGTGTTAAATCTCTTCTCATCATAAACTAATCCTAAATATGTAGATAGCCATAGATCTCTTAGATCCGGTCATTATATCTCAATGACAAACCAAATGGATGTGGATAGATGTGATAATCTTCACCTACTACCCATTAACTCGCTTATAAATAATGAGTTGAGTACTTATATTAATTAATGCGTGTTCTAAATGGGTTGAGTAAGACGATTCATTTTAATTAAGTGGGTTAAGATGAATTATAAATAGGTACTTACTGAGTTGAGTATTTATCTTTCTATTAAATAACACAATTAATAAAATCAAATAAATATACTAAAATATCAAAAAATATTCACACATAATACACAAAAAAATACACACATATACACTAAATACATAAAAAACACACACACACACACACTAGTGCACAAAAAACACAGACTAATGCACTCCCGCCCATGACCCAACTTGCAACCAATGACCTATGGGTCACCCCATGGATCAACCTATTACCCATTGGTTGACCCACGACTCATGAGCCATGGTCGACCAATGGCCCACAATCGATCCAACCCATTAGGTGTGTGAATTTTTTTTTTAAATGTGTTTTTAGTTTTTGTGTGTGTATTTTTAATGTATTAGTGTGTGTGTTTAAGCGTATTGCATATATTTTTAGTATATTAGCATGTGTGTATGTTTGTATTTTTATATAGTAATGTATGCGCGTGTGTTTTTTTGTGTACTAATGTGTATCTATTAAGAATTTTAATTATTTTATGGGTTAATAAGTTTAACCAAACTCATTATAACTCATTTAATACGTGAGTAAAAAATAGATTAGATTTATTTTAACTCAACTCAATTTAATTCAACTCATAACTAACTAAATTTATTCTAATCCATAACCAACTCACCCCATCCATATTCCACCTCTAGATATGGGGATGGGTCTGATGTGGAGGCGGGGTTGATTTGAGAGACGTGTCTAGAGTGTGTTCATTGAATTTTATGAGCTAGAGGGGAGGGGATAGGGCTTCAATACTGACTTCAGTTTCCGCCATTAATTCATTTATAACCATTGATTAAAAAAAAATGATAAAATACTAAAAATTATGAAACATAAAAATATGTGGCATGTTTTTATTCTATAAAAAGTAAAAAGTATAAAATATCGAAAAGTGGTATTTTTGTAGGCAATGAAACTCGCCAAATGGTCGTGGCGAAGGGGAGGAGAGATTCAATAGATACTACCAATCAGTGTGAGAGTATGTATTTTCGTCTTTGTGAAATGACATTTTCATACAAACTCTCATTTTGGGAGAAGCCTTAACGCGTTCTTAATTTAATTTATATGGAAAGTGTAATTTGTGCATATTAAAACAAGTAACGTGCCTTTATTTCTTTTACCAAAATGAAAATCAGTGTTGAGTTTGGTCTTAGAAGCCTTCTATTAGACTAACTTTAAACTAATGACACAAGGAAACATTTGTCCAAGCTTGGAAAGAAGCTTTATAGTCGGCAGTGAAACAGCTTTTTTTGGCTTTCTTCTTTTTGACTAAAAGGACTAGGGTGGTTAGTGCTAAAAACCTAATTGCGTACCGGGTGAAGCTTAGATCACTGTTATTGATAATAATATTTTAACAGCAAAGAATCAAGTTAACTGTTCCAACAAACACCACTTTCGGTTATCTTTTTTTGTTTATTGTCAGACTATGAAGTTTAGCATCACATTGCCTTTCAATTGACTGTACACGTTAAAGTAAACGATAAAATAAAATTGTCTAGTTGTTCGTTTTCTATTTGTTTCCTCCTTAAAAGTACATTAAATTTTTATTATCACTGAAACAAAATAGTAAAATTAGGCCGAAGCTTATGCTTTGAAGTTGTGACCAAGTTATTTGGGCTTGAATATTGATGCTAATATAAAGTTGACCCTTTTAGGCAAAAAGGAAAACATAAAAAGCAACAAGATTCTTGCAAGCCTATCAAGTCTTATCTCATGTTCCCATCTATTTTGGTTTCCATTGCAAAAATAATGTTGCCGACAGAGGTGGAGCCAAGATTTTGATTGAGGGTGGGCCAAAATATGAATAAATAAACTTACACCAATTGATATAAACTTACGTAGTCTTAATGAGATATGAAACAAAAGAAAGACACGTTTTAGTGCCTTTCACTTGCATCTTCTATCCAAAGAAGGCTTGACATTACTTGATGTCCTGAAAAGTAATCTATAACTAATTTTCTGTTCAAAATTTATTATTGGTTTCCTTTTCAACACCACAATCACAGAGTCCATTAAATCGTTATTCATTTTACTAAATTCACATTTTTAACAATACTAGTAATGCACACGTGAAAAAATTTAGATAATAAAGTTTTGATTATATTTTTTAAAAATACGAAGTGTATAATGATGATGAAGTAAAAGGCTACTGGTATATGCATTCAATGACTTTTTGAATCCAATAAGACTTTCTCGCATTACAACAAAAGATCAAGAAAACTCCTAAATATAATTTATTAATCTTAAACAATTTCACCTCCACATGAATTCAAGAAGTCTGGTAATAAATCAGTGGACTTTTGGTCCAATAGTACTTCTTGCCTTATGAAAGTTTTGTCTTCCTGAAGTCAAAGGTTCAAGTACTCCTCCTCCTCCTCCAAAAAAAAAAAAAAAAAGAAGTCTGGTAACAAAACTAATTCTACTCATAATATAATAACAACTCCTAAAATACTACAAGCCTACTAACAATAAAAAATTAAATATTAGGAGATTAATTTAATCTCCAACACATATTAGGCTCCTCATTCCATGAAGAGTACCTTTTTTGGCGTTCATTATTACATTGATGGGTGATAAAGTTTATCAAGCAAATATTTTGGAAGTCATAGAGATAAAGTTTATCTAGCTAATATATAGTTATAAAGTTTATCTAACAAAAGTTTTGGAATATTAGTGATAAAGTTTATCTAGCAAAAAATTTAGAAGTTATATAGATAAATTTTATCTAGCTAATATTTAGTGGGCATAATTGCCTTTAAGGTAATAATTAGGGGTGCAATAGAAAATCAAAAGTTTTTTTTTTTTTTTTTTCAGATGTTGACATTTATAAGTAGTATATATATAGATAAATAGATATAGATAAGTAGCTAAAAATGATCCTCAAGGCTTAGACCCTAAAGGTTTACATCCATTCCAAAAAAATCTCTCCTTATGAGAATATAAAGGTGTTTATAGAGTAAGGTCATACATGTGTAGCCTAGGCACATGTGATGCAAGCCAATAAACTGGTGATAGGTGTCTCAAGTATTAATTAGGTAGTGGAACACACCCTGCAACGGGACCCTACTGTGAGAATCCTTACCTCGAGACCTTGTTGTGGGAACCTAGTTTCGGGATCCTGATTATGTTTATTCAAGGTCTATTCTACAATCCTATTTATCTGGACACATATATCCTAATTTCTCTTTTTCCA